GAGGAGCTGCAGGAAGTGTCTTGAGAGAGGGAAGTCTGGGCATCTTTGCTTAGACTGCTGCCCCCGCGACCCGGTCCCGGATAAGCGGAGGAAAATGGATGGATGGATGGATGGTTTTATAGAAATTTTAAAAATGTAATTTTTCCTATAGATAGATAGATAGATAGATAGATAGATAGATAGATAGATAGATAGATAGATAGATAAATCTACCAAGACATGTAATCTTGGTCCTATATTGTTATACATTCTGACCAGAGTGATGGCCATGTTGCATATTATAATCCAAAACACAAATAATAAAATATGAAATAACCTCACATCAGTCAAAAATATTGAAGACTGGATACTGGAACAAATGATTTGACAAAATTAAGATATATTTTCTGCACATCATCACACAGGTTAGTGATTGACTGGACTTTATTTCATTTGAACCTTACAATCACTATCAAAGTCTTATCTCGCGCTGGCCTATCATAGCAGCTTTAATAAAAAGCTAATAACTCGGCAGCTCTTGCCGTACCTATACCGTGGATCAGGGGCAGAGGGGGTAAGTGGGGTGTGAAATAGACTCCAGTTAGCTGATGGACACATGAAAGGACTCGGATGGTTGGTTGTCACTCACACCGCCAGACCCGTCTTTGCTTCATCTGAAGTCGAAATATGAATCTAAATAGCCTGGAAAATGCATTTTTCTACCAATAGATCCCAGAAGTGTACGGGGCATCATCAGTGGGAGTCATTTAGAGCTGCAGACTGTGCACCCTGCCATGCCTGCTCCGCCGTGCGGTAGGAGGGGTTGTAGTGACGCTGTTATCCAATGGGCACCGGTTTCTTCTGAACGGAGCGCAGCATCTCTTTCTCAGCGGCACTTTTGCGCCAGACAAGTAGGGACGACACTCACTCTGCAACCGAGAAGAAGAAATAAGTCTCCGGAAATACTGAGGTGTTTCTGGCGTAAAATCTCTCCCTCTTTTTCCTAACGAGTGGTTTTGCAAAGATGAACATTGGCTGTGTCATCCTGGCGTGCACCTTACTTGTGGGCACATCCTCGGTAAGATGAGTTAATTTCTCCATGTCTTTTCGGCTAACAGTACTGTGGAAGTGCTGCACTGCTGTAGTGCTTACTTGGGCTTTGCAACGCGCTGCATGAGCCCTCGAAAGTGGCCATCAAAGGCTCACTTTTCCCCGCAGTGTTGCGTGAAATCGAGCTTAACAGAGCAACGTTTAGGTCAAGAATATATTTGTTTAAGTGTGGCGAAAAAAGTCAGTGACAACTCTGTTCATTAGCACCCTGCATTAGCAGCTGCAGTGCGTTATTGCAGAGGACAGTGGTTTCTGGAGGGGTTTCTTTTTCTTTTGGCTGCGATCAACTTCGTTTACGCACGTTTACGCACAGTCATCGCTCCTTTTCTTGGTATCTGGCTTTGGTCTTAGTTGACGACTTGGCAATTTTATTTGGTGTTTATATGTGGAGGGCGATTTAAGAAGAAAATAGGCAATTATAAATTGCTTGGCTTACTTTATTTGCAAACTTGGGCAATTCACTAGAATCAGCCTTATGTTCACATATGCAGTATATGCAGTAGTGGTTGGTGTTAGTTTGCTGAGCTTTGCTTTTGCCGGGAAATATCGAGTTGCCACAAACCTTTTTTTTATTTTATAAAACGCATAATATGATAAATGAGGTGGATCCCTACAAGTGCATTCTATGGAGAATGCCTGCAACTATGCAAATACGGTATACCTAGACACATTTAGCTTTTTGGTTCCGTCTTTTTCACACGTTCTCTTTGTGTGTGTGTGTGTGTGTGTGTGTGTGTATGTGTGTGTCTCTTGCTCACCCCTTTCCGCATAAACTCTATACTGAACGTGT